CTCTCTCTCTCTCTCTTAGATCGACGTGATGCTCAGCACTAACTTACAAAGTAGGGGGTGGCGGGTGATATATTTTACTTTCACTGGAAAAGCCACAATAAAGTAAGTACGTTAAATGCGGGTCGGAGAGTAGAGAAGGAGAAGTGTAGACAACACAATAAATAACTTAATCTACTCTAACTAGGGGAGCGGTGGCGGAGCAGTTAATGGGCTCGTCTCCGAAGCAGAAAGTCCGGGTTCGAGCCTCGCTTTGGACACAAATTTTTTTCGCCCCCTCCTGCCCACCCAGCAGTAATGGGTACCTGACTTCGAGTTGGGGAAGTAAAGGCGGCGTGGAAAGGAACTAGCCACCCTACCACAATAAGTCGAAGGCCCGGGAAGTTGTCTCACTTAAAAGGCAATCCCCTATGTCCGGATGGGATGCGGGAACAACGTTTACTCTAACAAAAGAGAAACTGTTTTTCTTTCTTCCACATCAATCAACAGCCCGCTTCCTTTAGGGAAGGGTAGAAGTATGAGAAACCGGACGCTGCCTAGCCATAATGACGTAAATGTCAGGCTAGGACTATGGGTCATGGGTCATGGGTCAGGGGTAAGCATAATAAAGGTTTAGATTCAAGTGAAAGGGGGTGTTGTTGTTGGTGGCGATGGTGTTGATAATGATGATGATGATGATGATGGTGATGATGATGATGATGATGATGATGATGATGATGATGATGTTGTTGTTGTTGTTGTTGTTGTTGTTGTTGTTGTTGTTGTTGTTGTTTTTGTCGTCGTCGTTGTCGTTGTTGTTGTTGTTGGGAGGGGGGCTGTCAGAATTTTATCTTGGACATCGTTTTTGCCTCTTTTTACCTAGAACTTTTCGAATCTACTAAGCTTTCTTTTTTTATTTCTTAGTAAAAGTTTTACTGCATTTACAACACAAATAGGTCATATAAGTGGCGAAGATTAGCGGTGTTACTAAAGAGTAGCGTAAAAAGAAAAGAAGGAGGAGAGGATAAGGACGATAGATCTTTGATATGAAGACGGAAGCAAACAACATCCGAACACCCGACAACCACCCGTTCCGCAGTTTTTTAGAGAAAAAAAACGACTACTCAACTGAGCCATTATTCTTTTTCGGAACTGTTTTTCTTTTCTTTTTTTTTTT